TATTCATATTCATATACATGTACATATACATATACACGCACACATACACACACTTATGCATACATATTTTTTGAGTTTACCGCTTTATGCATGCACATATAAAGTTATAACACATGCAATGTTGACATGGCTATTCATTCATGAAGCACATGAAATGTTGACATGGCTATTCATTCATGAAACACATGAAATGATGACATGGCTATTCAGTCATAAATGAAGATAGGCTCTGGACATATATCCACAGATCCTTTAGTTAATATTATTAAAATAATATACCAAATTATATATTCGAATGACCTATACACACGAATATACATATAGTACTTCATTCTAAATCAACTTACATCTGTTTGGCTGCATTTGAACGTTTTTGTGGATATACGTGTATGTTTGGCTAATACACGCCAATGCCAATATATCGATGCATATACAGTCCATTTACGTAAGCGGATACATATACGTACACACACTTTCGTGAATGTACACGGGCGGCTGCAGCTGTTTCGATCAACTTGTATATTTATGTCAATACGTTTATTTGGTGGGTAAGAAACGTGAATAAACAAACTGAATACATAAGGATATAAACATTTCTGAATTTCAGAGTGTACGTGTTTGCACATACGTTTTAGCTTGAAAAGATTCATGCGTTCTCCATGCAAATATTGATACCGATGTATGGGCGGGGACTCAAAAGTACCCACACATGTACAAAGATGCACCTATCACACACAGCTAACACGAATATGCATACATTCATTCAACACGGACACATGTACGGGTGACACATACCCTGACCACGGGTAAACCCGGAACTTTGGTTTGATTGTGAAGAGGAAGCATGTGCCTGACCCGTAATGCTTCTTGTGCGGTTGCCCACTGCTGTCTGTTATTGACCACGCATGCGACGTGAAGGCGCCAACTACATGATCTTTGTCGATTTTAACTGTGGGCAAATGGACAGTATGCGCATTAGTTGCGAAATATAGAATGGAAGAAAGGAAAATGCACCTGAGTTTATCTTGTGCGGTTGTTCATTGCTGTGTGTTATTGACCACCTATGTGACGTAAAGGCGCCAACTACATGATCTTTGTCGATTTTAACTGTGGGTGGATGGGTGAGTAAGCGCACTAGTAGCTGAATATAGAATGGAAGAAAGGGGTATGTAGTTCAGTGATTCTTGTAAGGTTATCCAATACTATCGGTCACTAAGCACACATCCGTTGGATAGGCACCCAACCAGTAATGAGGAGATGGAACAGACCGCCCTTGTTCGACGCATACATCGACATAGCAAGGTATGTACTCCCATACTTAGGCACGGAATGTGGATATAATCGTTCTTATAAGGAGCTATAGTGAGTACCATGACCCTCTAAAGGTACAAAAAAAAGTATTTCTATAGAGCTACAGATAGTATTTCGCATGATGTATAATGGTGGTGAATATCATGACCCTCTAGAAGTACAAATAAGAATAAAATACGGTTGACTGACTAAAGTCATCAAGTTGGCTATGTGGGTATGTTGTGTTTTTAACTAGCAATAAGTAACGGCCGTCACATTCCGGGTAGACGACGCAAAACCTTGCACGCACAATGCAAACAGTAACATAGCACGACAACTACGCACACACATAGAAACAAAAACAGAGCAGCTATGTTTGTACTCTCCACGCTCTGTGTCACGTATTGATTGAAGCTACCAGCACAATATCCAATACACCATGAATATCGCACACATTCATACCTAATAACAAACATGGACCACCGTATTCAGCACACTTTGAGTATAGTGTGGACGACGTGAGGCCGTGCTTGTTGGATGCGTAGATTAAGCGCCAGTCCAGGAACTGCTCTTTCATGGGCATCATATTGGCCAACAGCCGTAACGATTCTGTCTTGAGTAGTTCACCTGTCGGATGCATTGGGTGTTCAGTTTTACTTACCAAAGGAGATGAAGTACATACAAATACAAATACGAATGTATATATGTATATATATATATATATAAAGGATGGAGATAAGACGGTACAAAAACACAATAAATCTCAAATGTGCAGTGATACCAATACTGTTAGTGACATATATGCGTATGTATGAGTTCATATGCATATTTGGATGTATTTGAATACACGGGTGACCCATACCGTCGTCGCCGACAACGCTCACGTGTTCCCACGGGTTCTCCAGATCCAGCGAGTAGGTCTTGGTGAGAACACTGGTCTTGTCCGGGGTTGATTCCACTGACCGTTTCTGTGTAGCGTACAAGGAAAAATGTAGAATAGAATGAGTGGGAGACTGTGTGATTAACTCGCGCTCAATAGAATGGTCGAGTACATATATCCATGCTTTTATCTATTCGTGACATCGAAATGTGTACGACATTCGAGGTAAGGCTAGCGATTGTTTGTGGGTTTAGTCTAAACGAAAGATGAATCAAATTGCCTGGAGATAAATATGCTTTTACTGGTACAGAAGCAAAAGAAAGTAGATGATAAATGTGAGCGTAATAATGAATATAGTTTGGATGGGTATATGAGTTTGCAGAAAATGGAACGAACAATAAGACACTTTGAATTCTACAAAAAAAAATAGTATGTTAACATAACTAAAATTATATATAAATATATATATATATATATATATATGAGAGTGTGTGTGTGTGTGTGTATGTATATAT